ATCTACATGAAAATCCTTGTTTGCGACTACATGACCATTATATAGGAGTCAATGTGTCATAAAACATAATCAGAATCAAAACCTTGGAGATGGGATTAAAGACTATGAGAATCTACATGAAAATCCTTGTTTGACACTACATGACAATTATATAGGAGTCATTGTGCCATAAAAGCACATTCAGAATCAGAACCTTGGAGATGGGATTAAAGACTATGAGAATCTACATGAAAATCCTTTTTTGACATAACATGACAATTATATAGGAGTTAGTGTGTCATAAAAGCACATTCAGAATCAGAAGCTTGGAGATGGGATTAAAGACTATGGGAATCTACATGAAAATCCTTGTTTGACACTACATGTCCATTATATAGGAGTCAGTGTGACATAAAAGCACATTCAGAATCAGAACCTTATAGATTGGATTAAAGACTATGAGAATCTATATGAAAATCCTTGTTTGGCACCACATTACCATTATATAGTAGTCAGTGTGTCATAAAACACATTCAGAATCAGAACCTTGGAAAAGGGATTAAAGACTATGAGAATCTACATGAAAATCCTTGTTTGACACCACATGACCATTATATAGGAGTCTGTGTGCCATAAAACACATTCAGAATGAGAACATTGGAGATGGGATTAAAGACTATGAGAATCTACATGAAAATCCTTGTTTGGCACTACATGACCATCATATAGGTGTCAGTGTGCCATAAAACACATTCAGAATCAGAACCTTGGAGATGGGATTAAAGACTATGAGAATCTACTTGAAAATACTTCTTTGGCACTTCATGACCATTATATAGGAGTCAGTGTGTCATAAAACACATTCAGAATCAGAACCTTGGAGATGCGATTAAAGACTGAGAATCTACATGAAAATCCTTGTTTGGCACTACATGACCATTATATAGGAGTCAGTGTGTCATAAAACACATTCAGAATCAGAACCTTGGAGATGGGATTAAAGACTATGAGAATCTACATGAAAATCCTTGTTTGGCACTACATGACCATTATATAGGAGTCAGTGTGTCATAAAATACATTCAGAATCAGAACCTTGGAGATGGGATTAAAGACTATGAGAATCTACATGAAAATCCTTGTTTGACACTACATGACCATTATATAGGAGTCAGTGTGTCATAAAACACATTCAGAATCAGAACCATGGAGATGGGATTAAAGACTATGAGAATCTACATGAAAATCCTTGTTTGGCACTACATGACTATTATATAGGAATCAGTGTGGCATAAAACACATTCAGAATCAGAACCTTGGAGATGGGATTAAAGACTATAAGAATCTACATGAAAATCCTTGTTTGGCACTACATGACCATTATATAGGAGTCAGTGTGTCATAAAACTCATTCAGAATCAGAACCTTGGAGATGGGATTAAAGACTATGAGAATCTACATGAAAATCCTAGTTTGGCACTACATGACTATTATATAGGAGTCAGTGTGTCATAAAACACATTCAGAATCAGAACCTTGGAGATGGGTTTAAAGACTATGAGAATCTACATGAAAATCCTTGTTTGGCACTACATGACTATTATATAGGAGTCAGTGTGTCATAAAACACATTCAGAATCAGAACCTTGGAGATGGGATTAAAGACTATGAGAATCTACATGAAAATCCTTGTTTGGCACTACATGACCATTATATAGGAGTCAGTGTGTCATAAAACTCATTCAGAATCAGAACCTTGGAGATGGGATTAAAGACTATGAGAATCTACATGAAAATACTTCTTTGGCACTACATGACCATTATATAGGAGTCAGTGTGACAAAAACCACATTCAGAATCAGAACCTTGGAGTTGGGATTAAAGAGTATGAGAATCTATATGAAAATCCTTGTTTAGCATATATGGCCTTTATATATGTGTCATTTTGACATAAATCGACAAAATTAGTACCTTGGAGATGGGATTAAAGACTAAGAGAAACTACTTGAAAACCTTCTTTGGCAATACATGACCATTATATAGGAGTCAGTGTGCCATAAAAGCACATTCTAAGCCAGAATCTTGGAGATGGGATAAAAGACTATGAGAATCTACTTGAAAATCCTTGTTTGGCACTACATGACCATTATATATGAGTCAATGTGCCATAAAAGCACATTCAGAATGATGACCTTGGAGATGGGATTAAAGACTATTTGAATCTACTTGAAAATCCTTCTTTGGTAATATATGGCCATTATATAGGAGTCAGTGTTCCATAAAACTACTTTCTGAATCAGAACCTTGAAGATGGGATTAAAGAGTATGAGAATCTACTTGGAAATTCTTGTTTGGCACTACAAGACCTTTATGACACTATTTAGGATTGCGTGAAAAAATGCGAGATTTAATTAAGGTGATAAGATCACTAAAAGTCACTGAGCGATGTTATTTTTTCTAACAAAGAAAAGTGATATAGATTTTATTTTCATCAGCGAAGAAAGTAAGATCTCGGATCTGTCGGATTTAATTCGATTTATGTTACAACGGAGCGAATAAAGTTAGCCGTCTGCCCATGGCAATAATGAAAATTTCAAATTGGTCAAGTGGCCTACTAAACAGAATGCTAAGATATAATATTAATCAGGTCATGCACTGACCGAGAAAAATGTCAGCTGGACCACCCACAATTTAAAAAGAAGAAAAGATTAAACCATTAACTATCTGCAGAGATATCATTTGGGAAAAACACCTGCTTTATGTCAGAGCTGACCATGATAAAGAGAATTTTTCATCGGAACAGATAATTGGCGACAGATTGCGGAAAATCATTGACCAACCTCAATGATTATTTGACGAAAATCTCGTTGACAAATTCCAGACGAAATTCGGTTAAGATAGAGATTAGGGACCATCCTACGATTCGTGTGAGGTCTGCTCGTGGAAAAGAAAAAAGGAAAGAAGATACTTTTTTTTCCTTTGAGCGATAATTGCAAACACCTACGCAGCTGAGCGTTCATTGGCTGAAGGGTGGCGTGAGCGGTAGGCGAAGGTAAACTATGAAGAAGGAGGGTAGGCCTGTTGTTGCCCCCTGAAGGGATCGGTGTGAGATACCAATATTAGAAATGAAGAATTTGGGAGGACGATTCACTTTAAGTAGAAATTAAGGACTTCCAAAAATGGAAAGTAATAAATTTTCCTGTCCTAGAACAAAGAAGATCTTTATTGTGGATTTAGAATTATCAGGGAACCTCAAACCCCGACAAGCCCACCCCGGTTTTGGTCGGCGTTCATATAAACAGAGTCGCAGCGAGTAGAGTTAGTAAGACAGGCAGGCAGTTGCAGAGTGAGTAACACAGACACAGTTGGTAGACGCAGACAGAGTTGAGCTGTGAGCCCTGAGGCCCACCTCGCAGAAAGCTGACGGAAAGATCCACACATCACGACCTCAACTTCTAACCAAGAACAATTTATTTTTGAAGAACGACTCAGACTCACCCCACCAAAACAAGTTTTACGAATATCGCCTGAAGATACATCAAAAACCAGTTTCTTAAAATGAAACAACTTAAGATGTTAAGACTCGCCTAACAAACACAAAGTGTCATGAATCCATATAAGCGGGTTGGGAGAAAGACGCAGTCCGGTATTCAGCAACCAGATATAAAATATTGTTATTTTTTTTTAACACATTTGAACTTTTCGAGTTGTTACTTTATTTTCTTTTACATATACTTGTGCGGTATTACCCTTGTTCGGACTCGACTTGCATTGCGGCCCGGCGACTGATTGATTTCGTCTACCTAAGATCAAATCACAATGTGGGTAGGTTAGACTAGAAATCAAAGCAGTTACTTCGGTAACCAGACGTTGGAGGCGAGCTGGGAACGACAAAGCTGATACCGAATCTAACCAAATTCCCATCCGAATCAGCCAAGGGTTAAAACGTCACGTTTGGTGCCGCGACCAATACCAAGTCACATTGGTCGTCGCAGGATAGACGGAGTGTGGGGCAGAGAGGCCAGACGGGGTGACGTCACACCATTATATAGGAGTGAGTGTGCCATAAAAACGCGTTCAGAATCAGAACCTTGGAGATGGGATTAAAGACTATGAGAATCTTCTTGAAAATCCTTGTTTAGCAATATATAGGAATCAGTGTGCCATAAACACATATTCAGAACCGCATATATATACCCAAGAAGTTGATAACAAAAAAATAGATATATATGTTTTTCTTTTATTTAGCTCTCAGTTGGGAGTTGAACAAGTTATTCTGAATTATTCGCCCATATTACAACTACCGTAATCCCCATGTATAATACGCCTTCATCCATAATACGCACCCCTGAAATTGCGTTGAAAGTGAAGTAAAATTCTTCTACTCGCGCATAATACGCCCCTTTGTTTGGTAATGAAACCCTATAAAGTTTACCTCTCGAATTTCATTACGGCTTGCGTTTCCTACTCTGATTAAAAATGATTTTAAACATAGAATAATATTCTAATTTAGTTTTATGATAATTCTTATCTTATTTTCCATTTTAATTTTTTAGTAAGAATATGTACATATGATTCTGTTCCCTATCGAGAATCGCCGAATGTTTGTGTCAAATTGTCGTATGGTTGTGGTGAGTTGTCATTTCGCAACTGAAATCGACCTATGAAACGGCAATTTTTTGGAAGATATCTTTGTAGCTCTGCATAATACGCACCCTTAATTTTGCTTGTTATTTTTTTTTAGAAAAAAATGCGTATTATACATGGGAAGTACGGTAAATAAAAAAAATAAAATATCTAAAATAATATTTGTGTCATTCACTTTTTACATAATACAAGGAACATACGCAAATATTTACTACATACGCATACAATCATTATATATATATATATATATATATATATATATATATATATATATATATATATATAATGCGTGTGTGTGTCAGGTGGAGAGAAAAGAAAGCGAGAGAAAGAGAGGAATCCATATTTTAAAGATTCCATCTTTTCACATTGAAATAAATGTTGAATTCTTTTGTTCTGAACACTCAAAATTGGTAAGAAGGAAAGGGTTCAGATTGAAGTGAAGATGTGAATGTATTCTTGAAGGATGCCCTTGTTATGACATTTTGTCCTTGTGTGTAGATCTGGAGTTTTGGATTCCTCACAAAGTCAGGCAAAAATTGGCCAACACAAAAGTGGATGTCGTAAGGTTTTCACGGAGAGCGGAAGTAACATTTTTCTTTCTTTCTTTGGATGCCGTAAATTGTCGATATAAAAGTATTTTTGTCAGGTTTCTCTCCAAACAAAACAAATATTTGCTATAATATTCAACTTGGCTTCTTTTTATTTCTTCATCTTTGTATTTTTCATTCATTTAAGATTTGTTTTCTTTTCTTTTTTTCCTTCTATACATCATATCCTGTTCTTTTCTTTCTTTCGCAAATTCATACCATTATCGTTTTTAAATTATTTTATTCTAACGTTGTTCTTTTTTTTTTCTTTTTTTCTTTTCTTTTTTTAATACTTATTTCTAAATTTCTTTCTTTGTTATGTTGTATTTCTTTTCATAATTCTTTCTTTCTTTCTTTTTCGCACGTTCTTAATTTTATTCTCTTTTTCTTTCTTCCTTTCTTATGCGTATCTTTTTCTCTTTCTCACCCTATTATATTTCTTTCCTTCTTTCTTTTCGTGTGCGAGTTCAAGTGTAATGTGGAGCCGTTTAGAATGAGAAACGATCAATCTGAGTTCGAATTTCAGTTGGGTTATTGCATCTGGAGAAATCCTTGTTCTTCTCAAAAAAAAGAGTATATTCACTCGTCGAAAGGTTGATAAGCCGTTAAAAACAAATCAATCTTTCTTACGCTTATTCTCTTTAATCTTTTTGTACTGATTTTTTTTCTTTCTTTCTGCCTTTCTTTCTTTCTTTCTTCTTCATTTCTTTCTTTCTTTCTTTCTTTCTTTATCTCTGTCTTTTGTTCTTTCTTTCTGTCTTTTCTTTCTTTTTTTTCTTTCTTTCTTTCTTTCTTTATTTCTTTATCTCTGTCTTTTGTTCTTTCATTCTTTCGGTCATTCGGTCTTTCTGTCTTTCTGCCTTTCCTTCTTTCTTTTTTTTCTTTCTTTCGGTCTTTCTGCCTTTGGTTCTTTCTTTCTTTATGTCTTTCCTTCTTTTTGTCTTTCTTTCTTTCAGTCTTTCCTTCTTTCTTTCTGTCTTTCCTTCTTTCTGCCTTTCCTTTTTTTCTTTTTTCTTTCTTTCGGTATTTCTGCCTTTCCTTCTTTCTTTTTTTCTTTCTTTCGGCATTCCTGCCTTTGGTTCTTTCTTTCTTTCTTTCTTTCTTTTTTTCTTTCTTTCTTGCTTTCTTCCTTTCTTTCTTTTAGTTTATTTCGTAAGTCCTTACATTTATTCTTTTTATTTTTATTTTCTTTCTTCCTTAACGTGTACATTTTTAATTTCAGGCATTTTCTTTCTTTTGTAGCTGCTTCTATAAGAATGTACAAAATAAAAAGCGTACACAATAAGCGCAAATGCCTCGTCCTATACGGTTGCATGTAAAAATGTTACCAACGTAACGAAACGAACCGAGTATACGAAACGAAACTAAAATGCAAAAGGAAAAAAGCAGACGGCTGACTTCTCAAACACGGTAAGCCCAAGAGGTACCAATAATAAAATAATTATCCTTTGCTTGGTGCGATAAAATATTCTTCAATATAATAATATTTGATTATGAAGACGAAGGAGGGGAAGGGGAATAGCAAAGACAGAAATACTGGGAAAATTCTGGAAAATATGCTGCAAAAAAATAGAGAGAGAGGGGGGAGAAGAGAGGAGGAAGGAGGGAGAGATAAGAAAGGAGAAAGAGGGGCGAGAGAGAGAGAGAGAGAGGGGGGTCGACAGGGATTCTCAAAAATAACAATATTTGAAAATGCAGTTTGGGAGTTAAAGAAAGAGAGGAACCGGAAGGAAGAATCATGGTGTATGATGGGAAGTTGGGGTAGATACGCCATTTTGAATCTAAATATGAATCAGTTGGGAGATCTTGGAAGATATTTTGAGAGGAGTTAGTTTTTAGAGCGAGTAAATTATTGAAGCGGGGAAAATGAAGAGAGATAAGAATAAAACGTAGATGGAAAATAAGGAATGAAAACAAGAAAAGGAAAAAGATAAAACGAAAATAAAATAAAGAAGAAAGGGAAGAGGAAAACGGGGCATTAAAAGGAATAACAACAGCAATAATAATAATAATAATAATAATAAAACTCTGATGAGGCCAATTAAAACGAGAATAAAAAATGCAACGAGTGGGAGGAAGAAAATAGAAAAAATACTGTGATTTCGGATTGAAAAGAAGAAGAAGAAGAAAGGAAATTCATTTTCTTGTTTGGCTGGAAGGTGAAAGATGTTCAATACAATTTAATGAGTAAGAAAGAATTGCTTTGTTTTGTCTGATATATATATATATATATATATATATATATATATATATATATATATATTTTTAATCATAATACAACCTACAACCTATTTTGGAGAGGCATTAAAACGTACTTCTGAAAGACTTCAATAGAATATCCCTCCAACACATGGACAGTGAAGGACCGAGAGGAGAGAGAGAGATAGATCCTAAGAAATATATTTAGAGAAAAAGAGAAAAGTGCATAAAGAGAGAGAGGGAGAGAGATTTAACATAAATGTATACACGATTTTTGTATTCACACCGTCTTCAAGTTAAAAAACTATCCGAAATGAAAACATTTTACACAAATTTAATCTAATGATAAATGCATATATTTTGTTCGACTTGAATGAAAAAAATTACCTAATATATATATATATATATATATATATATATATATATATATATATTATATATATATATATATATATATATATATATATATATATATATTTTTTATATTAGAAATTTATTGGAAAACGCACAATATCTAGTGTTTTCTCTAACAGTTGTATGGCTATGAGTAAGTGACCCTGGGTTTCACGCTTTTGCGATCATCAGACGAATTCGTTTATTTTTTAAAAATTAGATATATTTATGCTTGTTTGTCTATGTTTATATATACAAGGGAATTTACTTCTGTGTTTGTTTGGGGTGACACTCTTCTATACAGAGACAGACAGACATACAGGTGTACGCATTTTAGTTCACACAAATACATCCATATGAACAATCCGAATCTAGGCGAAGATACACATCCATGTGTTTTCGAAGATACATACATAAAAAACAAGGATAATAACATAAGGGATTTCGCCATTTTATATCATTAACTTATACTAATTTACTTTTTATATGAATGATTCATTGTAATACATATATACATACATACATATACACACACACACACACACACACACACACACACACACACACACACACACACATTTATTTATATATATATATATATATATATATATATATATATATATATATCTCCAAGTATATAATTGGTGTATACGGAATGAATTCCATTACCATATTTTTGTAGTGATTTTATAACATATTTATGTTATAATTTTTTTAAATAATATAATTTTTTTTAATAATATCTGATGCGATGAGAACGAAAGTAATATATAAATTCTAACGTTCACAGAATTAATTCAAAAGAGGCCTCGATACCGATAGTAGAGCGATAATTATTTATTATAATTTTATCATATAGACAAAAACATTTTACTCACTACAAAGATGCAATTTGGTTTCAGTGCATTTCAACTGCACTTCGACAGGAGAGATTCGAAAATGATTATGAACGATCATCACCAAACTGCTATCAACAAGCACTATTGTTTCCCCTGTCATCTATTTTTCTTCTCAAACAAACTGAAAAAAAGGAAGTGACGTTTCACACACGGCTTGACTACAAGCAGTATTGTTCATAATCATTTTCGATTCTCAACCGTCGAAGTGCAGTTGAAATAAACTGAAACGAAGTTGCATCTTTGTAGTGAGTAAAATGATTTTGCCTATATGATAAAATTATATATATATATATATATATATATATGATTCAGAGTCTGCACAAGCAAGCAACTTCTCGACGCTTGCCACATCCTATGAAGAAAAATGTCCTGGAAGAGTTTTAGAAAAAGAAAATATACGTTCGATAAAAACAGCAACAGAGTGTTGCGCCTCAGTAGTTGCCATGTTAAAGAAAAAAAAGGAAGGTTCAACTGTGTGTCGAATTTACGAAACTTAACGATAGTGTGAAAAAAGAAAATTTATCTCTACCAACTGTATACCAACTATTAGCAAAGCTGGACGGAGCTATCATTTTCTGTAAATTAGACTGCAACAGTCGCTTTCATCAAATAAAACTCAGCAAAAATTCACAAGAACTGCCGACATTTTTAACACCGTTTGGAAGGTTTTGTTTTACACGCTTAACATTCGGTATTAGCAGCAGACCGGAGATATTCCACCGTGAAATGACTCGCATTCTGCTAGGTATATCCGCACATATATGTAATATTGACGACGTCTTTGTGAGTGGAATGAACCAACAGGTTCACGATAGCAGGCTAAGACTAAATTGAAGGCAGCAGAAGTCACGTTAAATGAAAAATGTATTTTCCTGCCAGTGTCATAGTTTATTGGACACATCATTACGAAAGATGGCATTCAGATTGACCCAGAGAAAGTCAAAGCAATAATAAACCTCAACAAAAGGATGTATCCGTATTACGAAGAATACTACGTATGATAATCTACGTAGGAAAATTAGCCAAGAATTTAGATGTTACTAAACCTCACATAGATTTACTGAAGAAAGAAAACTCTTGGACTTGGAAAGATCCATAAGAATTTTCATTTCAAACTCTGAAAAAGATGTTAAGCTTGGCACCAATTCTAACGAATTATAATGCCGATAATTCAAAGATGGTCTCAAAAGTTTCATCTTCATAAGACTTAGGTGGTGTTCTTCTGCGAAAGCGAGGAAATGAATGGAGATCTGTATTTTATGCATCAGGATCTTGGCTCTATTACATTTCGCCCCCCCCATGACACTATCAACCAAACGAGGTTTTTTTTGTCTTCAGTTCTTTTTTAGTTTTTAAAAAAATACGAATACATTTCCCTTTTTGCTTAATATTTGTTTCATAATTTGTGGATTTTCATTTTAAATAAAATATATTTCATTTCTCTGTCTTTCTGACTTTTTTTTTAGAAAATTTTGACAGCAGAAAAACATTTACAGAAACTTTTTAAAACCATTGCTTATGTTTGTAAATTAAATTTAATTATTAATAATTGCAACGTTGTAACTGTTATTTAAAATTAATTTTATAAAGTTAAACATGTAAAAAAAAAAAACCTTTAAAAATAAATTTCTTTTCATTTTATAAGTTTATCTCTTTGTGCTTTACTTTTTAGATGGGCGCGAAAGTGTAATAACGCCAACCTCTCCTACGATGACTGAACAAAGATATGCTCATTTCGAAAAAGAAATTGGTGCTGCGGGAAGTTTGAAGTTTTCGGGATACCGAAGTTTATTATAGAAACGAACCACAAATCACTGCTGAGATTTCTAAAATTGAAACGCCTGAATTAATTGATCATTTGGACCGAGCGGCTTCGAATGGGTCGAGTAAGATTCTCATATGATTTCATTTACAGAACAGGGAAATAACTAATAACAGTTGACAGGTTATCTCAGCCTCTTACTTGTCAGTATATAGAGAACGAATCTGAAAGATATTCCTTTGTTAATTCGATAATATTTCGATAAGTAATCAATTTCTGGAAGAAATTAGAACAAAGCAGTTATCAGGTAATAAAAGTTTATAAAGTAGACCACAGGCCAATGTTAGTCAGGAAAAATCTCGAAGTGAAATTATATTGGTTTGGGCGCCAAGACTTCTCAGTTCGACAAGGATTTATGTTGTACCAGACCAGATTCGTCGTGTCAACTTATGGCGGAACAAATGACAACAAGACTGAATCTTCACTGAAGCTAAATTCGCCTGACTTTAATGCCAATGTTCAAACATGGTTTCAACAGGTCAAGCGCATAACAGCGTAGGGACAAGGACGCATAACTTAATTCAACATTATTGCACTGGATTGAACAGATATTTCAGGAGGACTCATTTGTTCCTTTACTTATGATGCGACACGATTTTGAGAATTTGCATGACCGTTATTCGTTTGCTATTAATACTGCGAATTCAGCATTCTCTCGCAACATATAAACACTCTCTGTCACTACATTTAGCGATCGCATTTTATTCAATCCTAAAACTCAAGAAAAAGCGCGGATACAATTTTCTACACGATGTGGCGACATTTCACACCACTGCTTATCAACATTTAAACATTGTTTACAATGCTTTTTAATGCACAAAAGTTTTCTAC